GGGGATGCAAGTGCATGGCGCTTTCAAGGCTGCTATGATTTGTTCGCGGTTTTTACAGCGGCTACGCAAGCAAGTAAGATTGCCGCCCGATTCCAGCTCGTGGCAGGCGACAGCGTGGAGGACGGGGGGATGCAAAGTGGTCGGACTGAAGACTCGTCCAGTCCGGACTCCAGCCCCCCGTTTATATATGCAGGATAGAACATTTACACATTTCCTGCACGCAACCCCCCACCCCCGCCGAAACAGCTTTGGTATCGCTTCTGCTACTTGTTGCAGCTGCCTGACTTAAATGACGTGAATGTTCTATGACCCAAGACGAAACAGATGCTATCCGGCCATCGCCGGCCGGTTGTGGGCCTGGCGTCCCGGCACCCGCATAGCTCATTTAAGCAGTCACAAACTACAGCAGCTCCTCGACCCGCAAGCAGCTTTGTGCTAAAATCGTAGTTCTGTGATTGAGATCTCTTCCAACCACTTCACATGTACTCGAGTCTAGGATCGTCGCAGCTGTCGGTAAGTAAGCTTATTTGGGAGTAAATGACAAGACTAGTGGGTCATTGGACCCTCAGGACCGTAAACTCGAAATCATACAATCCAACCCTAAACCGAAAAACTCCAAACCGATAAACCCCCAAACCGGGGCATTTGGGGATGAACGATTCCTGGATGATCCACACAACCCCGATGTAGACCCAGGCTAAGGTCCGAGTCAAATCCTAAGACCTCAACGCTTAGCCCTGAAATTCGGGTTTATTGTTTAGGGTTAAGGGTTTAACCCTGAACCCTAGAAAGCCTAAGCCCTAGTTTAGGAAGTTTAGGATTTAGGGTTTTAGGGTTCAGGGTTTAGGGTCTTCTCTCAAGCCCCTAAACCCTAAACCCACCACACCGTGCAAAGAGGAATCCCTCGGTATCTTCTGCGGCCTCATCGGCTCCTGTGCTCAGCACGTCTTGTCTCCGCGGTGCCTCGGTGAGTCTTAGGACCTCTGAGCTGGCTTTTGGTTCCTTTGTAAGGGGATCCTATAAGCGGGTCCTTCAAGGGTTCCTGGGGAGGCCCGGTAATCCGACTTATGCTTTCGGGGTTGAGTTGAGCTTAAACTCACTGGGTTGTAGCAGGGTCTTGGAGTACTCTAAACTCTATAAACCCTCAAGGGTGGGGGATTTCGGCTTGTGGAGTGATTAAACTGATTCTCACTTCTCATTTTCCCTCTGTTTCTGGGACCTACATTTAGCCAGGGGCAAACAGATTCTCTTGGATGGCAGCAGGTTTGAGGTTCATGGGCTGACTAGCTTGAAAACATCCCCAAACCCACAACTCGAGACCGCATACACGGGCTCCCTGACCGGATTTGAAGATCCTAACACTCTGGGGCTGAGGATTGTCAGGCCTTGATGCTGGATTGCTGCTCGCAGACTGTCCTTGCATGTTAATATTCACATGTAAGTACGGCCATATGTATTTCATTGTTGTAGCAATCTCAGCAATAACAGTTGTATGAGTCTGGTTATTATACAAGTCATAGAAACAATAGTATTATTACATGAAGAAGAAGAAGGGTAGGAGTTCGCGATCCCGGGTTCGTCTCCCTCTCTCCTTGTCCGCTCCGCAAGTCCTACACCCTAAACCCTAAAGGCCCTAAAGCCTAAACCCTAACGCCTACACCCTACACACTAAACCCTAAACCCTAAACCCTAGGGAGGTCTAGTCCCAGGTCTGAAGAGGCCTTGCGGCAGTCCTGAGCTTTCCAGCAAATGGGTTCGAGGAGGTTTTAGGGCGGTTTGGGGGCTGATAGGGGTTTAGTGGTTTTGGGGTGTTGGGGTTTGTGGTTTTTTTCGGGGACGGGGGGGGGGGCGTACCCGCAACCTGCTTTTGTGTCAATGAAGTCTTGCAGGACCAACCTGCCCTGAACCTTAGTTAGCCTCCTCGAAACACAGCCCGGTTTAGGTCTTTTCAGTGTTGTGGCTTGCAGCGGCCCTGTGTTATGCAGATATTGGTTCAGGATTGAACCCAGTTCCTTCCTTAGGTGCCGGCTGGCGTGCATCGGGATGATGGAGCTACTGGTTCCCTTCGCGTCGCAGGAGGGACGGGACATTTTCAGGACTTGATCGTCAGGATGATACTAGGCTCTGTAGGGAGCTGTGGTAACATTGGTAACATGTTGAATAGAGTCCTGCCGAGTTTGGGTTTGTCAGAGAGCTTCTATGGCATCTGTGTTATGTGGCAAACCGGGTTTGGTCTGAAGTGCTCGAAGACTCGAGGCAGATGCTGCGGGATCACATATTAGGGGGTAAAACGAGACGGCGTCTGCTTCAAAGGACCGCACACTACGTGAAGTCGGGATACTCTACGTAAACCCGAACACCCTAAACTTAAACCCTGAACTGCATGACCTTGTTTTTCTAGCTACTTCTTCTGTACTATGTCCTGTTTGCTCCAGGGTTCAGTGCCGGCTTTGGAGTGTAAGGATTGGCTTAGAAGAGTTCCAGGAGAGCCTTGGGGTTACAACCGGCTTTGTAGCTACCATAACTAGACCGGTCAAGGAGTATTGACCCTATAAACGCCGAGAATCCCCGAACCCTAAACCCTAAACCCTAAACCCTGAACCCTAAACCCTAAGCCCTAAATCCCCGAACCCTGCACCATAGCAAGTCCTGGACGTAAACGCCAAGACTTGAAGGCCCAAGTCCCAAAGCATCCCTTACATACAGCGCACCGTGAACCCCTAAAGCCCTTAAGCCCCAACAAGCCCTAAGCCCAACCCAACAACCCCAAGAGACCCCGAGACCCTGACCTGAAGTTTGAAAGCGCAATTCCCAATGCAGGCCTAAAGACTAAAATCCTCAACCCGAGTTAAGGAGCCGAAGAAAGAACCAAACACCAAAAGCCCTGAGCTATGGGGCTCTGGGAGGAGACGATTCTGGAGCAGATCGTTCCTTACAGCCATGTACTCATGACGGACCCGGTGGCCAAGGCTGGGTGTGGCTTTTCGGGCCTTTTTCTTGACCTTTCGGGTTTAGGGCTTAGAGTCCTGGGGTTCAGGGCTCAGGGTTTAGGAAAGCGGTTTAGGGTTTGGGGTTTAGGAGTTTAGGTTTCAGGGATTGAAGAGTCTGGGGCTTTACGATTTTAAAACGTTTTAGAAGGCTTGGATAGATGGAGGGCTTTCGGGTGTAGAGCTTAGGGGCTGTGGACATTCGGTTTAGGATTGAGGGGTCTGTATGTAAATAAGTAGAGTTATGAGTACGTTAATTGGGGTTATATGTAATTATACGTATCGTTACCTTATTTGTAACCCTAGTTTCTACGTCCCATGAACCTTGAAGTAGTCATGGGAGCAGACGGGTAGTTGCATGTTTGCTGGGAATGCCGCAAGAGACCTCCAGATGAGATTTCACGGTGCTAGGTATGCGAAGTACAGCTTCAGAAGTTTGGGCTAAGGGTTCCTGCAAGCCAGAGTTTCAGACCAACTGATGCTCAGAAGACTCTCTGCAAGCTTTGTTGAACGCCTCAGCAAATCAATCTTCACAGCTGTCCCGGAACCGGAATTGTTGTCACATCTTATCTGATGAAATGCGGGCACAGGGTGCCTTGCAAAAGAGCCTCAGTAGCAGCTGTCGGCATGAACTTCTAGATACAGACGGATGTTCTTCCCGAAGCTTCAACTCCATCTGTCAGGGCACCCATGAGGCTTTCAGCATCTAGACGAATGTTTCAGCGGACCTGTGCCCTAAAGCCCAAATCCCAAACCAAGAGCTTTGCGAAGCAGGTGCGCGCCAAGGCCCTGCACGTGCTTGGGTGTGCTCTGACCGCGGCGGTGCTGGCGAGTCTTGCTGATGAGAGGACTTGGTCAGGCCCAGAGTTTAAGGTTTAGGGCCTAGGGTTTTTTTGGTTCGGGCCTACGGTTTCCATGGACCAAAAGCAGCTCAAGGTACTGGCTAAGCCCGACAGAGGGTCTACTTCGGATTCAGCTAGAAGCTTAAAGTAAAAATTTTACCCGGATCCGGAGGTCTCTCGTTCGCAGTGTTGCTTTTTCAAGAGGCCTGAGCTTTCGGATGGAATTTTCGTGGATTTCACATGCAGCTTTCCATATTCGATCAAACCCCTAAAGCCCTTTAACCCCTAAACCCCGAAGACCGTGGGTCCTTCAGGTGACGAGTTGATAGTGCTGATTGGGACCAGGGTGGGCCCTGCCTGGAAACTCAAGAGGATTTAGGGTATAGGATGTTTAGGGGCTTGGGTTCAGGGTTTAGGGCTCCAAGTTGTTCCCTTACCAGGTCACACAGCTGCCTATCAGCCACGCAGGTCTTTTTGTCGAGTGCGCGCGGCTATTGTAGGTTCAGGGTTTGGGGGGTTGGGTTTTGGGTGTATGCCTTATGCACGCAAGAACTCATGATTCTGCTAGACTCCACAAGTCTTTTTTCATGCCAAACCTTAGCCAAACCTTTGTGATGCGGTTTGGGCCGCTTGTGGCATCTAGATTTCCCGACGGTCTGCCTGCGTGACATAGCTCTCCAGACAATGTTGGCCCGGTTAGAATCATCACTGAAAAGCGCCCTGGAATGGAAGGTCGTGAGTAGTGCACCCTTCAAACTTTGTGTGGAGGTCCGAAACCAGAAAACAACCAAGAGAGATGTTTGTGATTAGTAGGCGAGGTCGCATCGCCCTATGGCAGTAGGAGTTGTTTCGTCATCGTAGAAGCAGTCGTGGGCTTGACCTCAGCGAGCTTAACATCACGAAGCCCTAAACTCTGAAAGGAAGCCCTACAGGCGTCGACATTGATGTAACCCAGTGTCACATAACCGATATACCAGAACCGGTTCTTTAGCTCCGAACATCCATGGCACTGGGTGTTCAGGGTGTGCAGGGTTTTGACCATGTATAGAATGAGTGGGTTACACTATTACAGCATGGACATGCTTCTGCTTCAAGATCGGCCTTATCCACGGATTTTAAAGGATGCAGCAACACCTAAAGACGACCTCACACGCAGCAGGTAGTGCGGCTGCAGATGACAGTGCCTGTGTGATAAACGTGACCATGGCCGTAGTTTGTAGTAGTCAGCACCGCCATCCATCATTACTACGCACCTGTGATCTTGTCGTTTTATCCTCATATCATGATCTGCTTCTCCACGCTCGCACCATCATCTACAACATCATCCGCAGAATCGCCCCTAGACATCTTCATCGTCAGCGAATTCTTCTTATCATCAGAATCACCATCATCATCACCATTTACCATGATGATCCCGATCATCACCATTGCAACCATGATGATCCTCGTCGTCGTCCTCGTCATCGTGATCGCAATAGCTTTCGCATTTGCATCTTCAGCGTCAGTACCATCACTACTACCACCCCCATCATCATCATCATTAACGACGGCATCACCACTCTCATCCCTATCTTACGAAGATCCATGAGTTTATTATGGTTCGTCTTCATCACGATGTTAGTCATTCACCACCAGCACCATCCTCTTATTTCACCAACACTGCAATCAATCTCTGCACTGAATATGTAGCAGCAGCAAATTGTGAAAACCCGTCGCAGCCCACACAAGCCCCAAGACCACGGGCTTCTTTCCACGGCTACGCTTGCTTTCAAGTCCGAAAATAGTTCGACATTGAAAGATACCAGCCAAGATGACCCCCTTCAATATATTGAGGCAGGGAGATCGGGCGCCGCAAGCGAGGTATATTTTCCCGCAACTCACCTCCATGATGAGTGGGATGGACAATGAACCTATGGCCTGGGCCCTGGAATATGAGAATTCAATTGTCCAGTCATGGTGGGTTTAGGGTTTAGGGCCCGAGGGTAACACTACAGTTTCTATACTCATCCGAACATCCTGCAGACCTACTGGCCTGATAAACCATAACCTCCCCCCCCCCCAAAGAAAAAAACTAATCTCAACCCGTGCTGCTCTAGGTTCTCCTCTCGGTTGCTCAAAACTTGGGCGTCTTGGCGACGCAGTCCCTTCGCTTTGCCGAGCTTGCCGTTGCTGGCGGCTCAAGGGCATTCTTCAACCTCCATGTTCTGGGTGCATAAATAGCTACTTGGCATATCCTGTCATCCTACCGGCATATAGGTACTTGCATAGAATTGAGGGCTTCAGGGACAGTGGGACTTTGGGTTGTGTGTTCGGGGTGTACGGTTGTTAAGTTGTTAAACTTACAGGGTGGTTATACAGGCTTTGGTCTACGGGGGCTTCAGGCTCCACGATATCTTTAGCTTGACGTTCAAGTTGAGGCTAGGTCCTGAACATGAAGTCCAAAGTGAGAAGGCAAACAGTTTGGACTGGACGATCTTGTCCATCACCGGCTTGTTGCTTCGTTGTTGCGGGCCTCACATGAGTGTGGCTGATGCTGTGCAGACATGCTGTCCTTCGCCCGAACGGTTAACCCTGAGCCCTCAATGCCGTGCTTTGAACCTAGGAGTTGAGTTTTGTCGGCCTTTTCAACACATGGGTTTGAATATCTTTGAATGATCAGGATCCGCATGTCACAGTATCCTATTACAGTTCTTCTGTTCTTTCCCGCACATTCTCCAGAACCCTGTTCCAGTTTTTTTCGAGGTCCCTAGTGACGCTAGTGTTGCTGCTAGATCCGGTTCTGTTGGCTCAAGACTGAAAATCGAAACCCTCGACTCTAACACGCAGCCGCAATGCCCTTCGCCCTAACTCTAGAAAGTATCCCTAACCGGCCCTAACCCTTACATACCCCATATTTATAAGCACAAAACCCAAATGCTCTATAAAGCCTAGACCCTAAAAGCCGCATCCCTATCCCTGCACCTCCAAAGTCTCTGCCCAGGCAGCCCGGCCGACAGCGCAGGCTTGCCCTCTGCAGTCTCCGTTTGGGAGTTGTTCGGCTTGAGTGTTTAGGGTTTAGGATTGCTTTTCTGCTGTATGGTTTTCGGGGGGTGGGGTTTGAGATTTCGAGGCTTTAGTTGTTCCGGCTTTAGATATGGAAGCTAGGCTGCTTACTCTTACGGTATGCGCCTATTTAAGGTAGCTTCCCAGCTGTAGCCCCAAACCCTACACAAATAGTAGATTATGTTGTGGCTTCTTAATATGTCTGAATCATAGGGTATAAACTTTAAAATTTCGGACACCTTTTATAGTCGGAGTCGTTCCAGTTTCAGGATCAATGACCCTGACCCCTAAACCCCTGTCAGCATTTGGGATGGAAGTAGGCAGCTGTAGACGATCCTGCCGTCTAAGATCTGGAAGATGGTTTCCCAAAGCTGCTGCAGGATTTTCATATTATCGGTTCTACGATCCTACATTCGGTGGAGTGAAGGCCCCCTCCACCTTCAATTATCTTTCATGTAGGGTGTGTACCCACACGTACACTATCCTTGCTAGTTACTAATTGCCAGAACCAGAGAAATCCGTAAAGCTCTACAAGCCAAAACCCCCAAAACTCCACACCCTAAAACTCAAAGACTCCTTAGCCCTTAAACCTTTCTGATATTAAAACCCGAAAATCGCAGCGCCCTACAACCCTAAACCCTGCACCTACTTGAGCCAAGTTTGTAAAGCTTAACTAGGCATTTGGGCTTTTGGACTTCGGACCAGGGATGCTAGGCTGTAGCTGTTAGGGTCTCTATATATATATATATAGAGAGAGAGAGAGAGAAAGAGAGAAAGAGAGAGAGAGAGAGAGTCTTTAAGGGTTCTCTCTACGGGGGGCAGTGAATGAGCGTAGCGCAGCAGACATGCAGCTTTTCGTGTTGAGTTAAGGGTTTCGATAAATTAGGGCTGAAGGGGTATAGGGTTTTAGGTTTAGGGAGTTTAGGGTTTAGGCTTCGGCACTATTCTCCATGCCCGTCTCTGCTTGCGACATGGAGATACAGCAGGTTGCCGTGCAAGTCCTCCAGGAATGTCGGGGCAATCTGGCTTGTAACTCAGAAACAACCCTCAGCCGAACACCCTCCACCCTAAATCCTCAAAGCCAAAACCTATCCTAGAGCCCAAACCCTAAAGTAACCCCAAATCCCTAGACTCTAAACCCCCGAAAGCCGTGTGCATCCAGGCTGGCAACACACCGAAAGCAGAGGCTCGCCAAAGAGCCAGCAAGCATTAAGGTTTTAGGGTTTAGGGTTTAGGGTTTAGGGGTTTAGGGGTTTAAGGGTTTAGGGTTTAGGGTTTAAGGGTTTAGGGTTTAGGGTTTAGGGTCAAGCATTCTGCATGTTCGCCTTGGGAGACTCAGAAACATGGGGTTTTCGAAAATCTAATGTTGCACGCTTTGGTTTGCCTGATACCCCGGAAACCTGGTCTCTGTGAATTTCAATGCCCTCCACGGAAAGACCCTAGAAACAGATGAGTTCCTCAAACCCGAATACCCGAAACCATATTTCCCCTAAACTGTATCGTCACCTCAGAGTCAGATCAGTGCCTGCTCACTGGGGTACGCCCCTAAACCTTATACCCTGAACCTGGCTGAATTCAACACCGGGAACCTAGGAGGCCTAGACATACAAAACTTGGACCAATCCTTCCTCTGAGTTCGGAAAGGTCCCTGTCGAGAGTTATAGCATAAGAGCCCATGGGCCCTATTCCATTGTGCTTGTCATCGTGGTCTGGCTCTTGCGAAGTCCAGGACCGGAAACCGGTGTTGGAGCCAGCCCGGATTGAGTTCCAAACCAGAGCCATGGCCCTAGCTCAGCTTGCGTACCACCGCACCTTCATTGACGTGATGGATGGCAAGATGGATGGTGCAGATCGTCGTGCTCGGGCCCGTAGCCTCTCGCCTACCCGGATGTCGGCCAGCGAGGAGCCTCTTATGCAGGACGTGTGGGCGCGTCGTCATCTTCGCACTCTGCGGCAAGAGCAGAGCGCAACGGTCGTCGATGCACTGGTCCCAAGTCGCGGCAGTGCAGGACACCCGGCCTTGTGCAACAGACCATGTGTTTGCTTGGCAATGCGGGGGCACTGCCAGAAAGGTGTGGCATGTGGCTTTTGTCATTTCCAGCACGATGACCCGAAGCCCGACAAGAGGCAGCGCCTTTTGATGAGCACGATGCCCAGGCAAGAGCTGCTTAGTCTTCTAGCAGATCTACTTCGGGAGCGTGCCGAGGATGATGAACTCCATGATGTGAGCTTCGTGATGGCAGTCCCTCGGTCGACTTAGCACGGCTTGCGGTGTGCCGCTCGATGGGCCGCAACAGAGCCCGAAAGCCCCAAGGCCCTGATCTATAAAGCCTACTCCCTAAATCACTATATGGCCCAATCCCCAACTGCAAACTCCAAGCTCTAAACATTGCGCCCATGACAGGTGAAGCCCAAAACCCCCACACCGGAAGCCTGCAAGCCCACAGCACAGACGAGGTGCTTTCCGTCCAGGCAGGACTTCTTCCAAGTCGTTTGCAGACGAAGCCTCGCAAGCTTCACAACTTACGACAGGTCCCGCACCATAAATGGGCTTTCGCTATAGAAGGTACGACTCATGTTCCTTTTTGATTAACTCCCCAACAAATTCAGCATAGCATCTCGATTGTGTTTCGATAACGGGGCAGAGGGCGAGGAGTAGTTTCTCCCCTGGCTCGAGCTGGACTGCTCAAGTTTCAGATTTCCAGGTACTTCAGCGCATGAACTTCTCCGGCATCTTATCAATGGCTGCAGACACATGTGGAGGCCGCAGCAAGGCCGTGATGCTACAGGAGTTGAGTGGTCTGCGACAGAGTGCTAGGCGACAAGTGACCTCGTTTGGGCCCTAGAGGTAAACCCGCCTGCCGCATCTCACCTTTGCAGCTGTCCATGCTGCGCTTTCCAAATACGATCATCGCTCGACAGCGTCGGACGACCCTATACATTAATATACACATCATAAACGAAAAGTTATACATATATATATATATACACATATATTATATATATATATATATATTACCAGACACACACACACACACGCATACATGGACGTAGATGAAACATGATGTAGAGTCGGTAGACGGGCACCAGAGCCGTTGAAAGAAGGCAGCGCTTGGAAACTGATGGATTGATTCATAATGATTTTAAAGTCCTTGTATATAGTAGAGCTTCACATGACAAGGATCCTACAGTTTCTTGGTTTACAGCAGGGCCCCTGGCTGCGCTTGTTTTCTCAAATTTTCGTCCGCGTCTTGCATAAGGCGTGGGATGTAATCCACACCCACTCGCCCTAGCAAGCATCTCCTCGCAGACGCGCCCTCGTCGGTCTAGCGATGCCCAAGAGTTGATCTGGACGTTTTTTGTACAAACTGGGGGTACCCTAGTTCTGTATGGGGGTCCCTGTTTGCTGAAACTCCATCTAGACGGGCACTAGGCAGAACGTGGGAGCCATCCTGGGACTGCACCCGTCTGCTAGTCGCGGCTAGCAGTGTGATGGATGCTCCCTTCAGCACTTGTTTAAGACTGAATGCTTTCGAAGACCGAGTTACGGTCTGTCGAATCCGCAGGGGGCGCTGCAG